AAAACAAAAAGTTAAAACTCAGAAGGACCACATGCTTATTTACATTAAGGCTGCTTTCCACCATTCTGTAGTGCAAGAGGACCTCACTGCAAATATAAATTTACACTCACTTTAAAGCCACTTTACAATGCTATAGTGGTATGAAGCAGCTTTGGTGTAAATGAGAACTGGTTCCAAAGCACAATGCCTGAATCAACCTATTGCAACTACAAGATACAACTGTGCTCTTTGCCAGCACATGACGTTTTCACAATACCTGCACGCCCACTCTCTTGATAGTAGTTTTCCATAGATTTGCTCATTGAATGGTGAATTACAAACCTCACATCAGATTTATCGATTCCCATACCAAATGCAACGGTTGCCACTACCACCTGAAATAACAGTAATAAGCTATCAGGATGCTGGTCTTACTCAGTGGGCGTGTTTACATGTGCCAACAATTCAAAACAATAAATGCCAGCACAGTTTGGGCCTGAATTTATTGCTCGCAGGCACCACGTTTGAACATGCACTTGGGACCACAGCATGTTGAGCTGGTCAGAGCAGCCGCGGCTGGCAGAGGATCCAGGGACAGAGGGGGTCAGCCTGTCAACCCAGGGCTGCTCCAACCCAGCTCAATGTGCTTCAGGGGGATTGGCTGGGACACAAGGGTGCTCCAGTGTAGGACTAGCCAGCAGGCAACACTGTCAGCATCTACACGTTTGTTGTGGTGCAGTAAATAACACCACTGCAGTATAATACTTCTGTTTACAAGTACTATCCTACAGCAGTGCTTATTAGTTTATTGCGGCCTAATAGTGTCACATGTGTAGATACTGAGACTTTACTGCAGTTAATCAGTCAGTTTAACAGTAAATGTCTCATGCAGATACACCCACTGAAGTCAGATTAACCTCAGTGGAAAATTGTATACATGACCTGGATTTTATTGGCTGCCCATTGCCTGTGAATTGAGGTCTTATCCTTAGCATCCATATTTGCATGGTAAGCTCCTGCCTTAATTCCCAACTTCTGCAAGCTAAAGGTGACCTGCTCTGAGTCCTTCTGGGAGAAGCAGTAGATAATTCCTGCACACACACAAAAAACATAAGGACATTTTAAAAAAAAATGTTTACCATATATAATAAAATGCAAATTCTGTTTGTATGCAAGATGCAGGGTTTAGTAGCCTTGAAAATAACATACGACATCTCATCTGTGCAAAAAAATATTTTTTTCTTGTGCCACCTTAACATCAGCCATTTAAAAGATTCTCTCAAGTGCAGAGAAAATAATTCAATCTCCATATCAATTCTAATTTTAGACTGTAGAATAGACAAAGAACATGAGTACAAATTAGCAACATAATGATCAAGGGAGAGAATGCTTACCCTTGGAAATAAACAGAGATTTTAAATTAGTTTTCGGGTTTGTTTGTTTTTTTTAAAGCTATTGACCAATCTGTACTGGGGTTAAAGAACTCTACAAGCAAAACTGAGTTTGAAGTACTCTCAGACCTATTACCATCACCATTTTACAACGGAGTAGTTATTTTTCACTTGCTATGTCTTAACATTTCAATTTCCATTAGTTTTCAGCTCCCAGTTGGAGCTTCTATCTCTGCTACACATGCTTAACCCTCTTGGCTCCTAGTGTTGACACGTGTGTGTGTGCGTCCTCCCTACAGACCCTCACAGTAACCATGTGCGACTAGTTTGCTCTTTCACCATCATCAAACAGCGGTTCACCATCTTTCAGCTCTTTCACCATCATTCAAAGAGTGTTCTAGCCCTGAGCTCAAGCGACGAAGCCAATCTTACCCTGTAATTACTGCTCTAGCTGGGACTGGGAACAGGTACTGAAATGGACAGTGAAGAGCTTACACTTAATGACTGTTACTAATACCCAAAAAGCACATTTGATTCATATGCAAGAAATCACAAGCCAGACCAGGAGGCAGGGGAAGTAGTATGTTGGGAGAAGAAATTTTGAAAGGACTGGGGAGGTTAAGGAAGGGAAAATATGATTGGGACCCACAAGGTGAGCAATACATAATTTGGTCCCACCTGTGAAAGGGTGACTTGCCCAACCTGCACAGAAAATCTGTTCCAAAAGTAAGGATATACTGTTGTCCTGAAAAATTAATTTTTACCACCCTGACAAGTCTTTTCTCTTCCTGCAATCCCTGCTTCATTTACTACATACAATACCACTTGCACAACAAGTAAAACAGGGAGCCCCACACAAACTCTCATTCACAACACAAATCCAATGCCAAAGCAGCTCATCCTGTATGCTGAACAAAGTAGGGATCCTGCAGGGAAAATAGTTTTGATCATGTAATTAAAGACAAGACAGACTAACAGCAAGGGACATGAAGATGTTGATATCTAATTTAGTAAAAATTTAAAAAACAGTACAAAATTAACCATAAAAATTGCTAGTTAATAGAAGGGATCTTTATTAAAAAGTTAAGCAGCTGTCCTCAATTCTGCTAATATATTGGAGCAATACCATAAAACGGAAGCCTGCTTGAAAAGGATAACGTCTTGCACAATTATCACTTACCTTACATGAAAAAGATAGCACTGTTTTTATATTGATTACCTGAGAGCCCTTTGTATCTTCCATGGATGATCCTAACAATCTCTTCCATGAAGTCCTCAGCATTTGAAGGCTTTTGCCGAACCTAAAAAAATAAAAAAAATAAAAAGAATACATATATTACTGATAAATTGCAAAGGTGTTCGAGAGCAATTCACCCAGTTTCCCACGTAGTCCTCTTATCATACAACACTTAGAACAGCAAAACTCAGTTCCTCTGCTCTTCGACTAAGATCAATTTATCTTGCACCAAGGTATTTATGTATTCCAATTACTTTTTAGTTGGATTCAATGGGCTTTCTCTGAAATTGCCAATATTCAGTATTGAACCAGCTAAAGAGTTACATACTTGGGAAATCTAAAGGAGTTTGTGTTGTGCTATGATTTGTAATACTTAGACTATAGCACCAATTCCCAGCCAGGCACCTTGGGGTGTGCCACAAGGTATCAAGAGAGAAAGAAGCAGATAAGTACAGGCCCAGGTAGGTCCTTGCCTGGTCAATCCCCCACCTCCACTGCCCAGCGTCTCTGCAAGGAGGTAAGCACTGTAATATATAAACTGGTTTTTGAAAGTGGGTGCTATTCAACTCATGAAAGTCATGGCAGTATGCCTTGAATCTGATACAGAGAGCCTCGAGTCCAAAAAGGTTGAGAAACACTGGACTATAGCATAGCTAGGAACAAATACATGCACATGGTCATAACATCTTCTACTCTGTACAGACATGGGTAAGGTACATTTCATGTCAGTCTGATGATTTAAAACACAAAATAAAACAGACCAAGAACAGTATCAGAAAAGGAAATATTGTAATTTGATTAAGAGCAGACATTATAGCCATAAAACCTGACTACATGCAATTGATTAAGATGTTTCTAAGCCAAACTCCTCATCTCTTTCCTGTGTCCTTACATCCCACTTCTATGTTTTTTCCATTTTTTTTTAATTTCCCCAGTCAGAAATTAATATTGAAAAAAATTAAAAGAAATGAACTGCCAAAGACTTAACTTAGTAAAGCTCTCTAATAAAAATTAGAGCCATCTAATAAAAAATTATAGCTAATCAATGGTTATCTTTCAATAAAGACTAAATACTTACTAGAACACTACCCTGGAAATAAAACCAGGCCATGGGAAAAGATGATTTTCAAAGGCTGCATGAACAGTAGGGAGTCACCCTCTTACTGAAAACCATAACAACTAACTTTGGTGACTGTGAAACGCTTTCCTCAGACTATTTAAAACAAACGAACACACAAAAAAACCCCCTCACTTAGAAAATGAAATATACTGCTTTGCGTTTCTGTAACACCGAGTATAGCCATGTCCTGATCCATGCCAGGGGCCTCTACTCCACAAAATGAGAAGAAAAAACAAAAAAACAAACAAACAAACAAAACACAAAAACTTACTTCATAGAAAAGATTAGGCCGGTTGAAAGATGCAGTAAATGTAATGCATTTCTGAACACACAAAATTTTCTGGGCATCCTTTAAAACATGACTTGTTGCAGTTGCTGTCAATCCAATTAATGGAGCTTTTGGAAATTGCCGTTTTAAGATACCAAGTGATTTGTAATCTACATAAGAAAATAAGGGGAAAATATTGGTTTTGTATACAATCAGTTTCAATCTGAAGAGATGACAGTTGTGTACTACTACATCAAATCTGCAAGCTAATCACTAGTAACAAAACTCATTTACAATTCCAAACAAGGTGCTCAGCAGACTGTACAGTACTGACAGAGTGACAGGACTGTTCTTGTAACATATTTACAAAAGCATTCAAATTTCAGACGATACCATATACTTAAATGTACTTTAGTTAAGAGAATTAGAAAACAAAACTAACAAATTAATTAAAATCTACGTCAATTATATTTTGATCTGTTTAAATATAATTGCTAGCAACCAATTGCCCTTGTTAACAAAAAAATATATAGAGCAGCATACATATACAAAATTAGCTCTGTCCATTGTATTCGTAAGACAACCTTTAATGGAAGTTTATTTTTTAAAATAATAAATTTAAAAATATTCTGCAAAACCCTAGTAAACTGAGGACTCTAATTATCTTTACATTAAACTGTAAGTTTTCTTTAACAGAATGAGAAATAACATCTGATGTACTAATTATGTACACCAAACAAAACATGAGACCACAACAGTGTAATTTTTCTTCCTGTAAATTATATTTAAAAAGGTCCAAGTTCATTCTACATTTCATGATGTGGCTAATATTTGTCAGCTCTAATACAAAAATAATAAGGACCATGAACACTTAAAGTCTGAAAATAAAATATTCCATTTCAAGTTCACCAACTGGTGACAAAATGATATATAGACTGTAATTTTCCATAGGTAGCACTTATATATTAGAGAGGCCCACTGCAGTTTCTCCTTTCAACTGTCAGTGATATCAATCCACTGAAAGATTGCCAATGCAAGTGTCCCTGACTTGCCTGGACCTAGATCTTCATTAAAGATATAAACCACTTTTGAATCATACGAAAGGAATTTTAAAATCTCTGAACTGCACACAAGTATTTTCTGTGCCTTGATAATTAAATGCATGTCCAATACATGAAACCACTTTGCCTCACTCCCAGCCTTATTCTTCCATCATTATCTAACTGCTTATACAGTTCTGAATGAACATACCAGGTCTGAAGTCATGTCCCCACTGACTACAACAATGAACCTCATCCACAGCAATACGAGCAAGTCTTCCTGCTTGATAAGCTTTCTCTAATTTCGACATAAACATTTTACTTTTTGCAATTTTCTCTGGAGTCACGTAAATGAGTTTGAGCTTGGAGTTCTTATCTAACATTTCAGCATGAACCCACTTCACATGTTCCTGTTAAAAAAAATAGTGATCTAGATCGTTAGGACTGTGATTAGGAATAGGATGTTAGCAAATATAACATTGCTTCATTTTAGGATCAACAGGTTGTCAACCATATTTTAGCTGAACGCATACATAGTGAACCAAATGAGACATAATGGCAAGACTGCATACAATTCTGCAATGGGTCACTATAAGTGAATACACTTATCAAGCAGACTTTAATATTAGCATTAAGGCCACAGAACTTTAGAAATATTTTTCTGTACTGTATGGTGAAGTGTCTTTGTTGTTGTGCAAGATACCATGTGATAAACATGTCTGTAGCCTATAAAGTAATTTCACATGCAAAATAAAAACTGTCAACTTTTGTAATGGCTTTTCAGGGACTTCAGTTCTTGAAATATTTGTGCAATTTGTCACATCACATGAAAGCATTAATTAGAAGAACTCCACCCCAAAATGTATGTTGACCAATTGGACAATGCAATATCATTAAAGATCTTCCTGGCCCTTTTGACAGTGGATTTATATTCTAAAGCAAATGACTTAATTACAGCTATAAAAAGTCTGCACTGCTAAGAAAATTAAGTGACATAATATTGCCCAGTATCGTTTGTTTGATTTCTGGATTAAAAGGGAAAAAAAAATCATTTAGTAACAAAAATATCCTAATACCTGCAAAAACATTATGGCATTAGCTCAGCCCCACAACATTATGCTCATTCTATACAAGGATTTAAAAAAAAGAAAAAAACTAAACATGAAAACCTCCCAAAAACCAGGAGTATATTATTATTAGCATCATAGAAACATTGGCAAATGGATTTTGTTCCTCGACTGATACTTTGTGTGACAACTATGAAATGGTATGCTAGCAAATAAAATTATATCATCCATTTAATGACACTGAATAATATAAAATGCAAACAAGATGCAAGAACTTAATTTTGAAAATGTTGCAAAATGACGACAGATTCTGGCAGCTAAACATACCTTGCTACTTGAAGCATTCAATGAAGATGCCGATATTCCCAGCTGCTGTAAAACCATTAGTTGATCTTCCATGAGTGAGATCAAAGGACAGATCACAAGTGTGAAACCTGTGAAAAAAAAACAATCTTTTCTCTTATCTGAAATATTCAGTTCATAAGATTTCTCTCAATTTGGACAATGCAACAAAAATCCTGTATGCACATGTGCATTTACTGCAAATACTGCAGGACTGAAGAGTCACAGAATGAAGTCTTTTTCCTCAAGAGCAAGTAAAGAACAGAAAGTAGCAATGCAAGCATCCCCAAATGGTAACACCAATGCACATTAACTCTATTCTGGAGAGATTACCTACAAATAGTTCAGCTTTCATATTTGTTTAATTGTAGGCTTCTTTGTTTGGGTAGCCAACAGGGGTGCTCTTAAGAATTACACATATGACCAACAAAAAAAAGAGAACTGGAAGACACCTCAGGAGGTCATCTAGTGAGTTCAACCCCCTGCTAAAGGCAGAATCATTCCTGCTTAAAGCATTCCAGTCAAGTGTTTGCTCTTGATGGCCAGTATTTGCTGCATTAACTGTGTAATACAAAGCCAAAGTGTGCACTGGGTTTCAATGGAGTCACTCCAGAGTGCAAGACTCGATTAACTTCATATGCACAAACAAAGAATTTCAAAAGCAGATAACTGTGGTTAGGTATCCAAGTAAATATTTAAACACCTGAATAAGTCACCTGATTTTCCAACATGCTGAATCCCTTTTAATTTAACAGTGCTTAGACATTTGGAAAATGAGATCACTTAAGTGTGGACCTGAAAAATGTAGGACCTGATTCACTAAGCACATGCCTAAATGGAATTAGTACTATTGAAGCCAGTAGAACTGCCCCCATGTTTAAAGAGAGATCAATGCTAAAGTACCTTGGTGAACTTAAAGACCCCTATTTTTGAGAGTCCTAGCATTCAGCCCTAGTGCATATCCTCTTAGAAGTTCACCAGACACTGTTTACTATTTTAATTTTTTGAAGAGGATATAAATATATGATGGAGAATTTTGCGATATGCATCTTTATCCATTGACAACTGGATTTAAACCTCTTAACAGCAAGAGACACTAAACCAATCATCAGAACTAATAATCCCCCAAAACAGGTCACTGTGCAACAGGCTAATTTACCCTGGGACTGAAAAATGCTAATCAATAATTTGTTTCTTTTGTTAAGAAAAGGGAAAAAAAGAATTTATAAAAATCTAAAAATCAATAGTCTCTTCGGAATTTAAGGGAAAAGAAAAATTGCAACAGAATACATTGTTTTTAAACAATAAAATATGTTTCTGTAGGATCTGAAGCCAAAACATTAAGAAAGGAAAATACTTAGCATTAGAGAATTAAAGTGCAAATCACAGACACTTGCACTGGTAATTCTTCAGCAGATGGAATAACATTTATAATAGATTTATGAACGTAGCACTTTCTCTCTCCAATTAATACTACAAAATGAAAACCTGAAATCCATTTACTTTTACATGACCTTTATTCTCACATACCATCAGAACACACTGCTGGCAACTGGTAGCACAGACTCTTTCCGCCACCTGTAGGCATGACAAGAAATATATCCTTCCCTGCCATCGTAACATTTATTGTTTCAAGTTGTAGAGACCTAAATTTCTGGAGTCTAAAGGTCCTTTGTAGTGCAGCTGTGACCACCTCAGACCATGGAAAATCTGTTAAAAAAACAAGAGAAAAAAAAGTAGTGAAAATCCTTTCATAAGCAATGGCATTTAAAATATAAAACAAAAAAACAACTACAATGTAGAAGTGACTTTTTTCTGAAAGTGTCTTAATGGTATATTAAGCTAAATTTTTTTAAAGCTCAAAAGGCATCCACAAGATTTGCCTGTGTAAACTAAGTGACAGAGTGCAAAGTTATGCTTTGTATGAATTTGTTTTGCAGACCATTTGAAATTTAAACACAAAGCTTGGTCTCTTATACAGTGATTCTCAACCAGCATGCCTTGAGAACCTCTCAGGGATGCCACAGGATGCCAAACAATGTCAGCACTGTTATGTATGCAAGCATGGCTCACAAGACAAACCCAGAGATTTCACACAGGAATCCACAGCACCAAACACATTCTGACCTGCTGTGGTCAGAGTTCTTTGCAACAGAAAAACTGTGCTATTTTTCTGTAGTTAAAAATAGAGTGAAAGCTAAGAACTAACATTTTCTGAGGGATGCCTCAAGTCTGAAAAGGTTGAGAAAAATAATATAATAATAAATGACAATATGAATTAATCCTCAAAAGGAAATCCATGAGTACATCAAGGACCTCAATATACTGACTTTTAAATGATAACTATTCTATTCAACTGATATGGAACATGAAACGTACTATGCCTGACAGCAGTTGCTTCCAAGGACAAGTGCTAGAATAGTTAGGATACTTTAGTTAATTTTCAGGACAATTTTAAACTCACGCTCCTCAAAAAGACATAGCCATATTCAGGAAAACTAGAGGAGAAAAGATGCTACTTGTATACAAGCAGAATGACTACAGTGAGATTAAGTAGTGAAGCGAGAGGCATAATATGCGCCAGGATATTCAGCAGGTGAGCCTGCATCTCTTTGCAGAAACATCCCAGTAACCTAGCTAGCAAATGGAAACAGGCTATTGCTCACAGAATGTTTCAAATAAACAGCATTTCCACAAGAAGTCTCCATAATCCTTTCCCCCAAAAATACACAGGAAACATTTTTGCCAACATGCTGAACAGGAACCTCCAGCTGACAAAAGCACAACAGATCTATTTTAAGTGGCAAATAATGGGACAAAAACTCAGCACATCTATTTCAGTTGGAACAAGAGGCTGGTCAGCAATTCTTCATACTAGTAGGAAAATAAGTAGAGACCTACCAAATTCATGGCATAAGTGGGCTGTGCAGTGGCTCCTTTAATCTTGCAGGTTGCCCTGCATTTCCTCCCCTGCTAACTGGCAGCAGGGCCCCCTGCTTGCTCCTGATTGGCAGGAAGACGAAAACAACAGTTTTAAATATGGTGCTATTTTTGCCTCCCAGCCAGTCAGCAACAAGCACCAGAGCCACCAGAGTCCCTCAGCCAATCAACAACAGGGGTGGGGGAAGGGGAGAGTGGGGGGAACCTTCAATATTAAGGCGCTGCTGCACAGCCCACTTCTGCTGTGAATTTGGTAGGGCCCTAAAGATAAGAAAATAGAAAACCACCGGGAATTCTACTATCTGGGATCCAGCATGGAGAAGATGTAAGTGCTGGATGTATGACATTATTCATTTATGAAAGGGCTTTGGATCATGATTTAAAGTCAATCAGAGTCTTTCCATTGACTTAAATGGACTTGGATCAGAATCAAGGTTAGCTACTACATTTATTCATGTACATACATACTGTAGCGTAGGATGCTAGTCTCCAACAATAAAGTTTACTAGCAAAGAGCCACACTAGTAGCCAGAGAGTATTACATTGTGTAAGGAGACATGAACAACTTCCTTAAAAAAATTCTTGGCCCTGTACTTTAACTCAAAGTTAACAGGCAAAACTTTAGTGTTACACATAATAAGATAGCAAGATTAAAATAAAGTTCTTCTGGTGAAGTTAAACAAGATCTCTGAATCTAGTATAACATAACACTGAGGATAACTAGTTATTACCAGATTAGTACTCAGAATATCCAAGGACGCAATTAATTTAATCCAAATTAATAAAAACAAAAGGCTATCAAGGTAACCAAAATATAACGCTACCCCCCAGCATGAAGCAGGACAATTACGACACACCAGTGGACTGAAATACCGCATTTTCACTTTCTTGTTGATACAGGTAATTCTCAGTACATTCCTTCCATAAAATTACAATACTTTCAAGTCAGAATAAAGGTGATATTAGTAACTGAATTTGATTTTGTAAACCTTGTTTGTCCCAAGTCTTAGCAGAATCATTTGTTTCACTTCCCCCAGCTTCTGAATCATCTGAAAACTGTTTTATTTTTCTCTTTAACACCGTCTTTTTATTAATAAGCTCCTGTTGTCTTTCCAATAGTTCCTGAATCTGGATTTCTAGCACCTGCAGTTCTTCATCAATGGAAACCAGCTCCTCCTCTAACACTGAAGGAAGGGAGAGAGGGAAAAAAAAAAAAAAAAATCAAAACTATAATATTGCATCATTCATGTTTTACTAATGATAACTTCAAAGGGTGCCAGATATTTTGCACCCATTGACTGGCAGACATATAGACAAGAGATAGCAACAGGGTGGATTTAAGTCAAACTGATTTAAATCATGATTTAAATCACTGGTCAGAAAGCCTTAATTTAATCATTGTTTTCCACAAAAAGTACATTCTTGTTTGATATCCTTTATTCATTTAACTTCTTGAAACGTTGCACTTTCAGAGAAAGGTAAGGACTTGATTAGGTGTACACAAACTTGCAGATAGACTGATGGGTGGGTAATCAGGTCCATTATCTCTCATCTCCATATACTGCTGTGAACAAGGATCTTGTCTCTGGAGACAACAAACCAGGGTGGATAAAAATCAATGATTTTTTTTTTAAATTAAAAAAAGCAGATTTTATTTAAATCAGATCTTTTTATTTATCATATTTCTTTTTGTTAAGATGCTTTCAAAAAAAACCTATATAGTTTTAATTTAAAATATGTTAAAGCTCAAAGATAACATCATGGAGTAGGGATTATAACTTCTAATTATATAGTATTTGAGACAATCTATTCATGTAACCTTTTAGAAAAGTTTTATAAATAGGCCACAACAGGCCATGGACTATATTAAGGGCCCAATCTTATGGGGTTTCCAGAGATTAGTAAAGATTGAAGAAAACCACTCAAACCCAATGGGACTCAGTGCTCAGACTAGAAGATCCCATTAAACATCTCTGTGATGCTTAGTTTCAGTTCTCAAACTCTGGATTCAAAGATAACATCCTTGTTAACAGCAATATATGGAGATGAGGAAGAAGACCCAATTACCTACCCTTCGGCCCTCTTGTCTCTCTGCAAATTTGTGAACAAAGTCAAGCTCTTACCTTCCTCTAAAAGTGCAAAGTTTCTAGAAGTTAAATGAATAAAGTTAAATGAATATCAAACAAGAATGCACTTTCTGTAGAAAATGAATAAATCAAGTCTTCCTGACCAGCAATTTAAATCATGATTTAAATCAAATCCACCCTGCAACAAACTCTCCCTATGCCTAAAGAAGGGTGTTTGTGCCTGAAAGCATGCAAAGAACAATTTTCTCCAACTATTTAGTTGGCCTAATAAAACATATCACATCTACCCAAAGAACCTTGTCTGTCTAGGATCTGAGTATGACCGTACTGCTGCACCCACTCTGGACTGCCCTTGTAGATACCTAAAGAAATGAAAAAATATGCCTACAGTGTTGGATGGTGCCAAAGAGTGCCACTGTGAAAACTTGCCCCCAAAAAGTCCTGTTTTGCATATGTAATATGATAAGAGCCCATCAAATTTCTGTTCTCCTGGCTGAGAGTAGACCTAGGGACATGCCAGAAAGCACATGCAGAAGCAGAACAAAGCAGGGCATATTTTCATGGCAGCACCACACAGTACAGTAGTGACACGCACAAAGTGATGCTTTTCCTCCAAACAGGTTGTAAAAGTTATAATAGACCTTGCAAATCCATCTTCTGCTTGAACTCAATTAACGCAGTTAACCTGCAATGATAATAACATTCTCACAAACATGAAGAGGTCAGCTCAATTCTAGTGAAGCAAAGTTTCTACTATTTTAATTATAGCTTACCTGGAAGAGCTGTCATCTTAAAAGATGGAAAAAAATAATTCTTAAATAATGAATATTGTCTAAGGAAGGGACTGTATCTGAAAAACAAAAAGGTGTATTTTATTAATAACCTTTATACAGCTATACTTTTTTTTAAGCATGGGAAAAGATTAGGAGAAGATTCCAACAGAAATGAAGGGAATGCCAAAAATTGTTACACCTAAAGTTAGAAGAACAAAGCGTTTTCTAAATATATTGCATGGACCTGTCCTACTCTGGCAAGAAGATGGCCTAGACTTTAAATCAGAAGTCCCTCCCTAATTTCTGAGGAATTATGAAAAATCATTACTTGTGAACTTTTTAGAGGCTTCTCATGAAGTTACATAGAAAGTATTTCACCACATTATTTGCACTCTGCATTTGCTAAACACTGAACACCTTGCTTTGTATTAACTCATCTGACCTTATCAGCATAAACATGTCCAACCAGAGGGCATAATATATCTGCTAGGCAGGAAGAAACTGACACTAACATGCAAACGAATTCATAAGGAGACCGGGGACAGACTTCCAAGCATATGGTTTGCCAGACTTCCATGCTAAGGGTTCAAGCAATGTGGGTCCTGAGTCGTCTCCCACAGAAGTCAATGGAAATCTTTCCTTTTCTTTTAAATAGTGGGCAAGATGTGCCTGAGAGATGTAGTTAACCATGTTAGTCTAAAGTATAAGGCAGGATAGATTTGTATCTTATACACTAACCAAAGAGAGAGAGAGAGAAGGGAGAAGAGAAGACTGGAATCTCTCTCTCTGTCTCTCTCTCTCTACATATAGACACACACAGACACATTAAGATTTTGAAAAGGAAGGGGGTACAGAGATGGTATCTAAGAATAAGGTTTTCCAGACTTCCAAACTAAGGGTCCTGAGTCATCTGCTGCAGAAATCAATGGAAATGCTTCCCTTTCTTTTAAAATACTGGGCAAGACGTGCTCAATAGACATAGTCTGAAGTCAAGTAGAAAGCAGGGTAGATTTGCACCTTATAGACTAACTAAAGTAAGTGAGTGTATGTGTGTGCACGTGTGCATAAATAATGGGGGTTGGGGGTGTAAATAATGGGAGGCACAGACATTACACCCACACCCCATATTCTGAAGTCCAATAGAAAGGAAGGTAGATTTGCACCCTATATGTGGGGAGGGGTGTCACACACAGCCCGGCCATGCCTCCCACATACACACACACACACACACACGTGCATAGATACAGGTATCATTCCACTCACAAGTGGAGGCCGGATTTACACGCGGGGGGAAGAGGGGCGGACGAAGGTGACATATCCCCCCACAGCACAAAGTGGGCTCATATCACGTTAAGAAGGCGACCTGACACTTGGGTGAGCAGCGAGCCTGGCCCCGCCCCTGAGAGACCCCTGCGCGCGTCACCCCCCGGAGGCATACAATTCCCGCCCGGCTACTCACCCCTCTGCAGCCGACAGCTGAGCTCAGTAGCCCCTTTCCTAGCCAATCAGAAGCCGCGCTCTCTTAAGTGTGGCCCAGCCCGGCCCCCGTAGCTCAGCGGGGAAGGGGGCAGGAGGGAGGTGCCGTGAAGAAGCCGGGTGGTGATTGGTCCCTTGCTGTGCCAATGAGACGTCGCGGTGGTGGGGCCCGAGCGGGGAGGCGGGCTGCGTGTTTCCGGAAGACGTGGCGGCCCGGTTTGTGCCCGCTTCCCCCGGGCCCGCGCCGCCGCCACCATGATCTCCCTGTCGGACACGCAGAGTAAGCGCCGGCGGGCGGGGAGGGACACGCAGGGAGGTGGCGGGGCCCGCGAGGAGCTCGTGTTCCGGGTTCCCCGCCCAGCAGAGATGGCTCCGACGGGAGTGGCTGCTGCGCGGCCCCGCAGCCTTTGGGCGCCGTGTGCCTACTGCACCTCGCTGGGAGCCCGTTCACAGTTCGGTCGCGCGAGCCGTGAAGTTTTTCCGTAGTCCTGTGCAAGCATAGGAGTGTTGGCGGCAGCGTCTCCGCCCGCGCGCCGGCTTTGGGCAGCTGGCTTCTAGAAATCCAGCCCGTGCCTGCGGCTGGCGTGAGGGACTCTTAACCACCAATACCTGTCCCTCGGGCGTTCCTCTACGTGAGAGATGAGGGTGCCCACCTTCGGGCGCTGCTGGAAGATGTGTGTTTGGACTGCTTCACCTGATGTGATAAGCTTCTGTTTTAGTGTGTGCAGATACCTTTAGAATTTCGCTTTGCACAGTCTCGGCAAACTCAGCAGGTTGAAATTTACTAGACTGGTCAGTTTTAGAGGTTGACAAGTTCACTGCTGCTAGACAGAATTCTAATATGAATTGCATTGGCTTCACTTTTCTGTTGAGGGGTCAGAATATTAACAGGACGCACGCGTCAGGTGGACTGACCACCTCCCTTAGTAAGAGCTGTGGTATCGGGAGAAGAGCACTGTTTCTTCTTTACCCATATTCTATGAATATATTGCCCCTCTTAAACTTGCCAGAATCTGCCCAAGTAAAAGATGACTAAAATATGGGCTTCCAGTCATTGTCCAGGAAGAGCATCATAGTAACACTTGAAGTAGCTCCTGCTTCTGCTTCTCACCAAAGTATTGTCCTGTGCATATGTTCAGAAACAGCCTTGGTGGAGTACTTTCATCAGCTTGTGATTTATGTATTTGGGTCCTGTGGCTAACAAGCATCAGGTATATCTTTGAAGCTTTATTCCCTGTAATATTTGAGTTGAAATTAGTAAGATCATCTACAGCATTTTCCTTTCAAGTGACTCAAGTAGAGGAATATGGTAGATTTCAAGGATATGTGGTCCTCAGCTACCAGCTGTATGAAATTGGATCTGAGAACTGTCTAATTTGACATTTACCTGGATTTTATTATTTGAACTACACATTGAAGTATCTGTTTTTTCAGGGAAGCTAAAGGCTGCACCAATAGATCCTATCGTTCGTGGGAGTGCTAGAATAGGCCTGCTGCCAGCATTTTTGCCTCAGGCAATATTAGGTGATAGAACTTGTATCTATGGTGCAATCAAAGGTGGGATTGCAGCACAAGAAGGTATGCTTCTGCCAGCGTTGGATAACAAAGAAGATGGGTTTCAGTGTGGGCTACACAAGTCCTTTAGGGGCCCCCCCCCCGGCTATGTATTTAGGTTACAGCCTGAAGTCTGTCTTTGTTGCTACTGATACCCGTTCTACTAAATCAGCTAGCATAACTGTGCCTTCACATGCTGTAGTTGCACCTTTTGATTGCAGGACAGACAACCGTTATGATAAATACAGCATAACACAGGTCATGCAAGTTTGGCCTTCAGGTCTTTCTCCAGTCATTAGATCTAATAGGTCTCTAGCATTTAAACTCCAATGGGAGGTTAACAATACAGGACAGTAATTAAGTTTTGATATTCAGAACACGGTCATACACATGCACACTCACACTTACGTTGATCTGTGTTGCAACAGGTAGCTTCAAATTTAGTGACATTTCACAAATGAGCATGCGCTAGACAACTTCTGTGCACTTGGATCAAACTTTCATAAAGGTCACAGTCTACAATGAAGTTTATGACAAAATGGAAGCTTCTGTTAAAAATGAACTGCTTATCTGTAAACTACTTGACATAGGGCTCTGCTTTATTTTCTGATGGTCTAAAAATGGTCCTAGATAATTCTACCCAGACTTCCCCAATGTGCTTCCAAAATTAGGCACTTTCAAAAGTGGGCACACATGTTTACACCAGAGGAAAAGTGGGACAAACAACACACAGTATTTACTCCAGGGGAAATGCTGTTCTGTGATGTAAAGTTACATTCAAGAAAGTCAGTCAGGAAGCGTACACTGTGTATCTGCTACCATTGTTGGTTGCACTCTGAGGTAGGTAAGTGGCTAAATGTCTGCCCTGCACATTGGCTGAGTGCTAAATGTCTGCCCTGTCACCTAATGGCCCGACTCTGCAATAACAGCTGCTTTGTGCAGTTAGCTTGAGTTAGCTGGTCATGTGTGTCTGCTTCTGACTGTGGAGTAAAATGTGGGGTAAATTACTCTGGTGTATGTGTCATGTACACACACCATCATACTTCTCTTGAACTTCACAAAGTTCACTCTAGTGTATGAAATATTTTCTTAAGTGTATTTATTTAACTTTTTAATTTTGCTTTTATATTGCAGAGATTGGAATGGGATTAACAGGCTTTGGTGTGTTTTTCCTTTTCTTTGGAATGATTCTGTTTTTTGACAAAGCACTTCTGGCTATTGGAAACGTAAGTGACTTCTTTTTGCAGTTTGGTTTATACAGGTTTCCCTCAACTTATGCGGGTTCTGTATAAGCAAATTCACTCTTACGCAATGACCATTTTTATATCCAAAATTCATTATATGTGAGGTAGGTTCACTCTCATGCAGTTGGAATAGGCGCCCCCTCCACGCAGGTTAATCTCGGGGAGAGGGGAAAGGGCCATGGGGCCGGGGCCACAGTCACCCCAGCCCCTGCTGCAGCCTCTCTGAGAGCGGCTGATGCCATCTGCCTGCAGCCACTGTGCAGCACTGCCCCAAATCCTGCAGGGCTCCGCTTGTCCCCACTCACCCAAGCCCCTGGGCTGCACTGTGCCATGGTGCAGGCAGGTGGTGTCAGCTGCTCCTGGGGCTGCTGCAGCAGGGACTAGGGTGAGTGGGGAAAAGTAGAGGCCCAGGGCTGCGGCAGGGAGTAAAGTGGAGGGAACAGTTAGTGAGTGCAGGGGCGGGGGGGGCGGGCACGGCTCTTGCTCCTGTGCACACCCTGGGAGGGCTGCAGGCTGGGGTGCTGTGGTGGGCTCTTCCTGCAGGGCGCATGCCCCCAGATCTAAACACGGGACAAGAGCATGTGGCCACTGCAGGCTGGTGGCAGCACCGGGCTCTTCCTGGCACTCAACAGCAGCACTGGAAGGTCAGGTTGGGGGTGCTACGGCAAATTCTGCGGTGGCTGCAGCAGCTATCCCAGCCCCGCTGCAAGCACCAGGAAGAGCCCAGTGCTGCTGCTGGCCCCAACCAGCAGCGGCAGCCTACATTCATCCTGTGCACACATCTGGGGCACCCCCTGGGAAGAGCCCAAAGCAGCCCCACAGCTCTACCAGAGTGCACACAGCAGCAAGAGCCACACTCCCTGGTCCTGTGCTCTGCACCCACTGACAGTTCCCTCTGCTTTGCTCCCTACTGCAGCCCCAGGAGCAGCCGATGGGCTGAACAGCACCCTTCCCCTTACCCCTTTCCTAGTCCCAGCCTTCCTCCCTCCCTCACTGCCATGGGAACACATCCCTTTTTCTTGTATTGTAAACTGGGTTCCCTTTATGCAAATTTGATTTATGAGCAGTATTCCGGCAATGCATGTACTGCATAAATTGAGGGGAAACCTGTATGTGGATTTTGCACAGAGTAGATTGACGTATCCAATGTATTGTTATAAGCTGTTTTGCTTTTTGGTACTAAATGGAAACAGAGTCGTAGGAAATACTAAGAGAGTCTGGTATAGCAGAAAGGTTGGGTTTAGTCACTTAAATATTTAACTTCCACTGATACTGAAGCCAATCAAAGGTACTAATGGTACCTTTCAGTCAGAATTCAGGCATATTGGGTCAGCCAGAGCAAAGAAACTTTTATTGCAGTTACTAGTGCCACATGTTTTATGGATAAAATTGTCTTTTATGATTTGCTATCCTTCTGGTACCTTTACTGTTATCTTATGAAGTAAGATAACTGTTATCATACCAGATAAGTCTTGCAACACTTGTAAAGAAAGGAAGTTCAAGTAAAAGTTAATAATAATCAGTATTTGGAAAACTGATACAGCCCTGGTATGTGGAAAGGTTTATTTGACTGTACCTTCAGTTTTTACAGAACCTAAGTTTAAACTTAAAAATATATAGATTCAATTTTTGGTCCTTGGAGGAATGACCTTCCTAATACAAATGGAATGTAAGCTGTGTTTTCATAGATTTCCTAGGCATTAAGGTTGGAAGGGACCTCACAAGATCATCGAGTCCAGCCCCCTGCCCCAGGGGCAGGAAGTCAGCTGGGGTCATAGGATCCCAGCAAGATAAACATCCAAATTTCTCTTGAAGGCATTCAAAGTAGGTTCTTGAACCACCTCCAGTGGTAGGCTGTTCCAGACCTTGGGAGCTCGGACAGTAAAGAAATTCTTCCTTATGTCTAGCCTGAAACGGTCTTGCAGGAGTTTATAACCATTCGATCTTAACATTCCTTGGGGTGCTCTGGTGAACAAACGTTCCCCCAGATCCTGGTGAACACCCCATATGAACTTATAGGTGGCCATCAGATTGCCCCTGAGCCTGCGCTTTTTGAGGCTGAAGAGCCCCATGGCTCTCAGCCTGTCGTTGTAAGGTCTGTTTTCCTGACCTCTGATCATGCTCGTGGCTCTTCTCTGGACTCTGTCAAGCTTCTCCACATCCTTTTTGAATTGTGGAGCCCAAAACTGAGTACAACGGGAGAATGACGTCCTGGGATTTGCTTGAGAAGCATCTGGAGATGTTCTGGTGTCTTTGAAATATGACTTCCAATATGTTTACTGCTGTTCACAGCTTTGCCAATCTGCATGAGAAGACTGCTGCAGAACTGGCAGTCTTTATTTTTACCATTCAGAACTCTGGGCAACAGTGATCAACTTCATTTTGGTGCTGGTTGATTCCATAAGCAGTAGCAGTAGAGGCAAATACAAGATACCCATTGAAGGAAAATCCAAGAATAGTTACTTGGGAGTTGGGGAGTATAGCTAAAGCACCTCTTCTTTAAGGAAAGAAAATAAATATATTTGATAGGACACCATCCTTATAAGAAAGAAAAATGTGAGGTGACAAAGAGGAGTGATTAAATTACAGTTTAAAGGAACAAAACACTTGAGTAAAGTGGTGAACTTGGGGCGGGGCTTAGCAGCAGAAGTCATTTTATTCAGTCCAGCCAATGAGGTTAGTTTTCAAGCTGGCAGATGGCAGCTGTGGTTGGAGGAATACTTAAACATTTATAATCGAACATATCATCAGTGGGAATAAGCTGATGAGCATCAGTGTGCCAGTCACGACTGGTACACAAATGTCAAGGCTGTGACAGTGAAAAGTAAGGAATATCGAGGTTGATATGTCATAGACCAACGGTTGTCAACTTTTGGCCTCCAGACACCCTTTTTAGTTTCAAGGCACCCCTTGGAAAATGGTAGGTCTTTCCTTTCACTGATTTCTTTTTTTTTTCCTTACTATGGAAAAAATAATAGAGCAGTTTGTTCTCTTGCAAAGAACTCAGACCACAACAGGTCAGACCATTTCTAACATGGTGGATTTTTCACCTCATGACACCCTTGAAAAGCTCTCATGGTACCTGAGTTAAGAATTTCTTAGGCTCTTTCCATTGTTTCCTAATGCATGTCTAACATTCTTTAAGCATTATGCATTGGTGAGTTAGGGACTTCAAGTTTTTGTATAAACGTTTGGTGCAGAATTTGACTCGGCATTTATTAAGGTTTGTCTGCACTATAAATCCTTAGTTCAAGAATATCACTATTGTTCAAACACAATTAATCATAAGTATCTTAGAAAATGGGCAACTCTCTTAGGGACTCCTAAGATGTTTGTATATTTACCACAAATGGGCCCTAGCTTATCTAATTTGTAAATAACTGAAAAGAATGTAATGTTGAATACAAATGTTTCAGTATGGGCTTTTTAAAGAACCCTGTAGTTCTACAGGAAAACTATCATATTCTCTTCTGTGACAACTAAAATCTACTGTATGTTTGACAGATTCAGTAAGGATATCAGTCTCTGCCTTTAGGATGGTAATATTAACATTTAAAACTTAAACCCTTCTGGAATATATTTAGTATTTCACATTCATTAACAGGTTGTTTTGTTTTTTTTTTTCTTTGTCTCTTAGGTTTTATTTGTGGCTGGCCTGGCTTTTGTTATTGGTTTAGAAAGAACATTTAGATTTTTCTTCCAGAAACACAAAATGAAAGCCACAGGCTTTTTCCTGGGTGGCGTGCTTATAGTTCTTATTGGTTGGCCCTTGATAGGCATGGTCCTTGAAATTTATGGGTTCTTCCTTTTATTCAGGTAAGACTTGCTTACAATGGAGTTCTTCACTTCTTATGTCTTGTTTTTCCTCCTAATCTTGCAGCAGTCACTGTCTCCATTAAAACTAGCAAATTGGGGGATTGTTTTTAAATGTTTGTGCAGATCTGAGATTCATATTTGCAACAAGCTGGAATTTGATGGATACCAGTCCCCCATTTGAGACTAAGCTATCTTAAATCTGTTTGAGATGTATTACCTCAAGTCACACTGAATTTGGCAGCTTCATGCTGTGATTTTGTAACCAGCAAAGAAAAAAATTTAAAAGGCCAATATATCCTGTGGGTCTAGAAGCAGGCTGTGTGCAGCTTAGCACCACCTGAAAAAGCATCTTGACAAGTAGCACACATCTGTAAATTCTGGTTGCATTCAGCTTAACGCACACTTTTTTACACCTTGTCCTGCTGTGTTTGCAACTAAACTTTCTAACATTCTTGTAGTGGAAAAGAATAAATAATGAAAACAGATTTGATTAACTTATCAGGCACTTCAGGGCTATGTCTGCACAGTAATTTTAGCATCCTTGGCAGCAGCACCCATAAGCGCACACAGCTGCTCTGGACAAGTTGCCTTCTGAACTATGTAGTTACTTGGTTTGGAAGAAAGCCCTTCAGGTGGGCTAATTGTCACTGTTAAGTGACAGTGCCAGTTAAACTGCCTAGATGGCCACATTGCTTCCAGTTTAGGAGACAGGCTGTTTGGAGTAAGTAGTACAGTGTATTTAAGTGTTGCTGATAAGAATGGTAAGTTTAACATGGACAATGGCAATAATTTCATCAGGTGTGCCTAGCAGTTACTTTGTAGGTAGCAGCGTTTCTTCATGGGTTAACAAAGGTGAGTTAGAAATATGGAAAATTACAATGTACAATAGGTTTTATATTTTCTTCAAAATTTTTAAAAATGCAGTGTCTGTGGAATGGACTGAACATAGTACATGATTCCTTTAAAATCAAGAAACAGCACATTGCTTTCACTTTACTGAAATACCCGATCTATTGGCTGAGAAGAGGAAATTTTATATATGAAGAAGTGACCCCTAAGTTTCCAGTAAAATTGTCACTAGTTCATTCAAATTGTACTGGACTCAGGAGGCTCATGACAACCCACTGTTTTTGTTTTATGTTTTGTTTGTTTTTCCATAGTGTTTCAATGGCAGGGGGAAATGAATGCATTTCAGTGGGAATGGGATTTTTCACTCTTTCACCGTGCTATACATCATCAATACATAATCTTATATTTCAGTTCATAGGATGGAATTTTCAAAAGAAGTTGGCATTTGGCTTAATTCTGTTCTCATTGAAGTCAAATGGGGAGGCTTTTGAAACTTCATCCTTGGGTTCTAATTTAGAAATGTTTTCAGTTCACGTACTTCATTAACTTGCTAATTATTACCACTGGCATTGTATAATGTATACAGGATGATTAGGCTTGTTTGAGTATTGAAAAAAGAAGTGTTTTAGGTTTTAGGTTTTTCTTGATTTATTCACTTACGGATGATTTCTGTGTTTTGCTGTAAATGTGTTGTTAATTGCTACATTTTTTAAAAAATATATAAATTATTTCACTACATGTACCAATGGCTTGTTTATACAAACAGTTTGGATCTCTAGCCCAGCCAATGTAAAGTAGGAACTGTGCTTTCATAACAGTGAAAAACTTTAAATGCCTTCTTAAAATCATTACAAAGTTGTACCTTTGAGCTGATGTAGTTGCAGTTCACAGATCAGCTATTCTCACCAGGTGATGGCAGCATATTGTATGTGAAGGAACAGTGTCCAGAGGAAAGAAGTAGTTAAAGCAAATGCCCTGTAGAGTCTGACCACAATCTTAAGAGAAAACAGTGTGTTAATTAAAATAGAATAGTTCTCAGAGCCGAGGTTTCAAACAATTTTGTTTCATTTTTTCACTCTTGGTGAAGTTAAATTTTCTATTAAAATAGCTGCTGTTTATTTGTCTATTCCTACTTGGTCCTATAGTAACTTCATAATGCTGTGTGTGTGATATCTCACTAACTTGCATGACCATAGACTACAGCCTGTGGATGCCCTGCTGCCCTCTGCACCACAAAAAAGATGGTCTTTGTCTTAAAATCAGGGGGATAGAGCTTTTCCAATCATCTAGAATATCAAAGGAAACTCAGTAAATAACTTGATAACAACATTGCTCTTTACAAAAAATCCTTGTTAAAAATTGTTCTGATAGATATTGCATCTGAACTTCATGAGTCTCAGATTATTAATCTGTTTGAATCAAATATCTGTCAAAAATCTAATGGCTGCTCTACTGAGACCTTGGTTACTTTAAGGACAGATTTGCACTATATTGAAGTGTACCATGTATTTACCATACATTTTGTCAGATATGTGAACAGACTTAATGTTGTTCTTTGTTTTTAAATCCTTTCTAAATAGTTGAATTTTGGTCTTCTGCATCTGGCTTCCCAAAACATTAGGAGCTACCCTAGAATAGAATTCTGCTTCATTTACATATAGTTACTGTGAGAATTTTATTCCCTAAATCACATGCATCAGCAAGACTGTTGTTTTAAGTATGAAAATAAATTAGTCTTGTGCTTGAGTAACTGGTAGCCTTTACGTTGAAAAGTTATTGGGGATTTTCAAAATGCAGATTAGTTGGGAACACCAGTATTTGCAATGATTTAACTGAATTCCTTTCACTGTAATGCCCATTAATTCAAAGCCCTCACAAGTTTTCAGACTCAATTTATTTGATGCTTTTTTTTTAAATAAAGCCATGTCTATGCTTTTTTTAAACTTGGGTTTAAGATGCAGACCATCTTTACAATAATATTTCCTTTTAAAAAGTACATCTCGTATTCAAGAGAATACAGTAGGTACTTTTGAAAAACCCAGCCTATAAAAGCAGGCTCTTGTGAATGTGGGGGAGAGAGATTTTAAAAGGGATGCTTTTTTCTGTAATGTTCTTTCCGTTCCCTCCTAAATTGTGGTAGCCCATATAGCTACAACATAACTACTTTGTTGCTAACAAGCTGCAGTAATTCAGTGCAGTCCTGTTTTTAAAGGACTCCTCCTCGTCTGTATGCAAGAAACAATGAGAATAACCTATAGTCTGAAATCCTATATCAATTCCTAATTTTTTTATGTTCCAGGGGTTTCTTTCCTGTGGTGGTTGGCTTTATTAGAAGAGTTCCAGTTCTTGGTTATCTCTTGAATTTACCTGGTATAAGTTCGGTAAGTATGTCCTGCTTAATATTAGCTTTGAAGCTTTTTTTCAATGCATGATTGTTGGATATCTACCATATAGTAATACAGAAAATGTATGTATGTAGTTTTAGAGCAAAAAATGAGATGGGCAACTTTTGCTTTTTTGTGTGTGCGCAGCTTTTGCACATTGCAGGTTATAGTCAGATCTAAGCAAGAGATTTCAGTTTCGACTGAAGCTAATGAAAGTAAGGAGATTTACAATGGACGTTCCTTGCCTCACCGTAGTCAAACAGATGACCTACTTGAGTTGATTCAGTTTATTTAGGCCCACTGTGCCAGGCTGTTCTTGCCATTTACTAAGTTTGTATTTTTTCAAAAATAGTTTGCCATTCTCTTCACGCGGACCTGTCCAATATATCAAAGGAAACCTCATACAACCTGTGGTGGTTAAGTTGTGGACCACAAGCTCCTGGTTGGCTGCTGGTCCCCCTGTTGCTCTGGCTGTAGCAGCAGCTGGAGTCTCTGGGCTCCCCCTCCTTTCTCCCAACTTTGGTCACCTGTTGCCATCCCAGAGGGTGAGGCTGTGCTCTGTGGGCAGTGGGCTAGGGGGGCACATAGGTGCATCCCCCCCAATGCACTATGTGGGTATATGGTGCAGCAATAAGGAATGGGAGGTCCTGCATGGAGGTGTGGGGGGGCATATGGTGCAGCAAGGGGAAGGTTATCTATACGGCCTGTGGCTTGCCCTGATGCAGCCTGCAGCATGTGGTGGTCCCTCAGCCACTTAGAAGCTGCATACTCCTGTCTTATCCAAAAAGCCAAGGAACTGAAGAGAATAAAATGATACCCGAGACAATAATCTTGGGGGAGGGAGGGTGTCAACTACTTTTACTGTGCAAACTTCTATATATACTTGTAACTTTAATATTTGTGTTTTTAATCTTAGTTTTGAAAGATATACTTTAACACCTACATTGTAAAATTGACAGAATATGCAGCTAAACTTAGTCTGGTTTGAAAAAACTGATTTTAAATTTTGTTTGTTCTAAATCTGTCATCTAACAGTCTCAGGCAAAGGTCTGATTCATAATCCATGATCAATTGAATGCTCCATTCAGAAATTGATCTTGCCTATATATAATTTGATCTTAATGGGGTTAAATCCTATTTAAAAAGATAATTGTTAATGTTTTATTCAAAGCCTACGTAGGCTCAGAAGAGAATCCACAGTAATGGTCAGTTGATATATCTCATTCGGTTTATTAATGCATGCGTGGCTGAAACATTTTTCCCTTTTTTATTCTTATCGGTCATTAAGCTAGCAGCATTACCTGCATTCTTCTGATTTATTTTTTTCATCTGTTGTGTCTTCACATTTTGCTGTTTATTTATATGAAACACATATCATGCAGAAACACAATTGCAATATAAGACTTAATTTTACAAATGCATAAATCTCATAAGACTTGGTGAGTACTTTAATCATTTTCAGTCACACAGTGAATGTGCACAAGTACCAGTTTATTTTTGAGAACATCTTGAGTGTGGATACAAAAATGTTTGCAGGTAACTTAAAGAATTCTCTCTCTTGTCTTCTCTTCTACAGCTTGTAGATAAAGCTGGAGAAAGCAACAACATGGTATAATGACAAGTGCACGGAAGACTGGTTCTGAAGTTACTGTATTATTTATAAAGTCCTTTTGAAGAATATTCAGCACAAAGTAAATTGTGTACAAAGGAAAAGCTTGCAACATTCTTTACATAAGTTTAATTTAAAACGTATAGTCTACAGAATACATTAGAAAAGAAGCTCAGCAAGTGTGCTTCTAAGAAAATGACTCAAAATTCAGTAAGTAAACTGAAGAGGTCAAAGTCATGGGATAATCCATGTGTAACAACTGTTCAAGACAGCTTTCCCTGTTCTTGGAAAACACGCTAACTGCAAGGAACCTTCCTGGAACGAATGATGCCTGTACTTTACCTCCTTATTTTGAAGGTGCAGTAGAGTAAACAGGTCTTGATTTCTGAAGCACTCCCCTTCTGCCAACCCAACCTTCCACCTGCCTTCCTCAAAAAAATAAAGTCCCTCTTTAACAAGAGATGTTTTTTCCATGGAATTAAGATGGATGGTCATCTTTAGGTGTGTGTAACAACAATGGAGACCCCCACACATTTCTGCTGAAAATTTTTTTGTAAATATGTGGCTAAAGTAAACTTCTGTTATCTTAATGTTTCAAAGCCAAATGTAGTTGATTGTGTTTGTCTCCTGTTTTGGAATATGCAAATGGTCAATCTTAAGTAATGTTTGATCTTGAACCTGTACAGTTCAACAAGGAAGTTTGAAAACTGATTTACTCTCCTTTGGGTTTGTTCTCCTTTTTCATGTTACTGTGGGCACATGCAGATGAGACTAGCCATTTTGTTACTAAATAAATCCTTGCATGTCAAGGACCATTGATGCAATGATGTATTGGGTGAAGGTGCTAATATAAACCCTGTGAAATGCATACAGAATATGGTTTTTAAGTAGTGGGAAGCTTTGCCTTTCTTTCTTGCCCAAGAAATACAAAATAAATATGGGGGGGGGGGGGAGAAGGAGTTTAATAGTAATTACAAGCTTTAAGTATTGTCTGTCTTTGAAAGATTTAATTTAAAAGTTACCTGGAGAACTTGTCAATCTGAGTATCTTTATAAGTGGCTTAATTGCTCTTTGTTGTCTACAGACATTTCTAAATGATCATGTCAATCATGGGAAAATTGCAGTTACAAATATGTATCTGATCTGCATTATAGTAGCATTTGGCATAAACCTGGAATAAAAGGTTCCCTGGTACTGCAAAAGTAGCATGTTTCTATTTCTGCTGGAATGTCTAACATCATGCACTTCCAAATGACTGAGACTTGGTAGTATCTTCATTTAACCTGAGCAAACAACCTAAAAAAAAAAAAAAAAAAAAAAAAAAAAAAAGAAAAAAAGAAAAAAAGAAAAAAAGAAAAAAAGAAAAAAAAAAAAAAAGAAAGAAAGGAAAAACAAACGACTTGTATCTGTGGATGCTTTGATTCTCCCCCCCCCCCCTCCGAAAATGTAATGCTAAAAATGTGTCAAGCTACAGGGACAATTTCTCAGAAGTAGTTAGAGATTAATCTGTATCTAACAATTGATTCTCTTTGAGTTACATTTTTTTTTTAGAATTTTTTTTAAACTGGGAAGATCTATTATATGCATTTTTAAAATAGGAGTGAAGTATCTTTGCATGTCAGTTGGGTTTCTGGTTGTGCATATATGCAGCACTAATATCTAATTTTCTAAACTATCTTCCTTCCAAAGGTTATACAAAATACTCTGGGAACAAAAGAAATACACTGGGTTTTCAATTATAATAGCCCAGATTATCTTTTACATTTAGTCAGTGGCACTACGGCCTTTTAATTTTATTATTGAAATAACTTGGTTATGTTTCCTGATGTATTATAATAGTTTACAGGCTAAATATGATTTGTGGCTCCTACCTCAAGAGGCAAACCAGTTATAACTGCCCCTGAATATCTGTAATGTTAATTCAAAAAATTGTAACACTAAAGTCTTTTAGAAAAGTAAGTTATGCTTTAATAGCTTTTAATGGAAATCAAATACTTTTAAAAAAAACAGACAACAATCTTAATTTAAATAGATGTTGGCAACTGTTAGGTCTTTATTCCTGTCTTTTAAAAAAAGTAATCAATACTGTAATGGAAGAATGGATTGTCCATGTGACTAGTTTGTGGTTCTGATTGGGGGTGAATTATATGACTGACTTATGTTAAATACTCCCCCCCCTCCCTCCCCACACAAGAGCTTTGGATAGTCTTTCTAAGATGTGGTTATGTCTTGCTGTGCTGTGATTTCTTAGCCATTTGACAAAATTGAGAGGTCTGTGTAATTCCCCTCCATTGAAGTTTATTTCATTGCTTTAAATAAAATGTCAGCACTGCTCATGTGGATGTTTGGCAGCATCACTCATTCCTTGTCATGTGTCAGACTGACGCATGTACTAAAATAAGAGGGAACAGCATTGTGTGTACCATTTAGCATGATCTGTATCCCTCAAGATAACGTTGTCTTACAGACAAAAATTAGTTTTGCCAAGTGAGCATGGGTGGCAGAAAAGGTCTAACTAATTTGCCTTAAGCATTTCTGTCATTGCAAAATATCTTCTGTAACAGAAACATTTGAAACGTTTCCCCCTTTTTAAATGTAATTTGTAATTGCTGCTTTAAAAGTCACACAAATGGATCTTGAGAAAATAAATACTGTAAATACACTTGTCATACCTTAAATAAAAAGGTACTTTTTCTATTTGGTGGCCACGTGTGGGTTTGTTTACTTGTTTGTTTGTTAAATCACACTTCTAAGAGAACATTTTGCTCTATTTTACTCTCATAAAGTGAGAGAGTGCAGTGCTTGTCTGTTTTTCTGTATTACATAGTGGGGAGTGGAGTCTGGAATGTGTCTTGTCTTGCATTTGACAGACTGATATGGAAAGTTTGCCTGCTTTATTTCAAAGCAAGTATCTTGTTTGCTAAAGTTTTTTGTATTCATACATTTTGTAGGTAGGCATCCACTACCAGTATGGTAAATATTGTCTAGTCTTTTAACAAAGTGGTTTCTTGACTTTCCCCCGCCCCTTGCAAGCAGCTATCAAAAATGCAAACAGTGTCACCCAGAAAATGGGGGTTATCATCAGCTGAGGCTGAGCAGCAGCTATTCTAGTTTTACCACTGAAATGCTGTGTATTCTGGGCAGCTAACTTTTTCTCTTCTGTGCTTTGTACTTTTTACCCTCCATCTCTTTTTAATATTGTAAATTCCTGCCTGCAGCATTTATAGTCTGCACTTTTTAACTCTGGTAGTATGGCATCTAGCTTGAGGGAGCCCTTCTCACTTCTAGGTGGTTTCTGAGGTCTTACTCTATTTTCTTTGGGTTACAGTAGTACAGCATAGGATAACAAGATACCGTAATTTAAAGCTAGGCAGGAAATAGCTGTTGCATCTACAAATTTAAATTAAAAAAATAATTTTACGTTCAGAGAAAGCAGAGCCCTTTCTGAAGGCCCCCCCGTCCCCCCTTGCTTCCTGCAAAGGAAAGAACTCCTCTCAAAACAGTAAATAACCTGGGGTCAAAGTCCCTTCCCTGCCTGATTTTAGACCTGGACTTGAACCTGTTTCCCAAAGAGGAGTGACCTGATCATGAGTCTATTTTGTGCTGGTTTTCTATCAGTATTTCTTGTTGGAGACAGTTCCATGAACCCTGTTGAATGGGCAAGAAAGAAACAGCTTTTGGGTCTTTCACATTTCAGTAAATGCCCAACCATCAAGCTGTGAAGTAAATAGTATTTCTATTTTAAGAGAAATACTAACCTGCATATGAAGAATCTTTCCCAGTGAAAATTTAATCAAAACTGGCACATGTCTAGGAAAAATTTAGCGAGCCATTTTCTGACTTATTACACTAGATATCTTTAAAAAAAAAGATCTAAAATTTGAGCTGCTTGGTGGCATACATAGTAAAGAAATTTGACCTACAAAAAACAAGTGTAGGATTGCCTTGGAACATCATTTTTTAAATATTTTTCTTCATGAATTCCATCAAGCTTTTTAGCTACAAACTACAACACTTTCCAACTTGCTTAATTGAAATACCCAACTGGCTGGAATTTAGAAACAATGTTGACAGACCAGCTAATTTACTCTCCTGAAAATTATGATAAATGCCTAATTCTCTTAAAATTCTGTAAAATAACTATTTGAAGGTTGGCTTTAAAATACAGGTGAAGTGTAAATTAAGACCAAGCCATACTGACACTAGAAAATCTCAACAAGACACAGTCCAGCAACTACTGATATTAGAATGGTAACAGGATGTTGACAGAGTAGAACTAGAAAATCATGCCTTGAATAAAGGGGATGCCATGCCAGGTGAGTTAAAACAGGGAAAGCAATACTAAATACTCTTTGAGTGCACCATATTTTTATATGAGAGAAAGAATGCATGACTGTCAAATTCCAGGCTTATGGTCTACCTACACATGGTTTAAAAACTTAGTGAAATGTATTATAGGCTGTTTGCCATGAATGTTAGAGGCAGGTGATAATTGATTCTGTGAATTTGCAGATAAAAATATGATTAATTATTTAGTTAGAGCTTTTGTGTGTACCTGAGCACTCAAGTTATGTCATGATATCTTAAGATTTATGATTTACTGTCATAGGTAGAGAATACTGTCCTTTAGATCAGGGGTTGTCAACCAGGGGTATGCGTACCCCTAGGGGTATTTAGGTCATAGGGGGAATGTGCAGGTGAGGATGGAGCATGCCCTGGGACGTGGTGGCGGTGTCTTCCCCGGTGCATTCCCATACTTTGCTTCTTACCCAGGGGGAGGGAGAGGGGTGCAGTGGGTACCAACAGCCCCACACAGCACACCACAGCACCTCCACCCCCTCCACCTCAGCTTGCTCTCTATGCCTGCTCCCAGGAGCAGGACCAGGGGGTGAAGGCAATGGCGCCAGCTGGGGGTGGTTTGCACCCTCTGCCCTCCTCTGCCGCCACCGTCCCATGGCCTGTGCCGCTTTCCCACACCCGCTCACACAGGCGGCACACAGTTGCTAATGGGCCTCGTGCCCAGTCAGCCCACCGAGCCACATGTGTGACCGGCCATGGGAAAAGTGTGCGGTGCAGTGCTGTGGTGGTAGCAGATGCAGCTGCCATGTGCGACCTCCCTCCCCCAGCTGGCTGACCAAGCAGCACCTGTGCAGCCTGCAGAAGGGCATCGCTGCCCTTGGCCCCCTCCCCAGCTCTACTTCTGGGAGCAGGCACAGCAACACACTCCCCGCCCCCTCCCCATGCCTTCATCCCACATACACTTACTTGCTGTGGGGGGTGTCTGTCCCTGTCCCCATCCCCTGCGCGTCCGGCGGCAGCAGACACATGGCATTGCATGGCTCTTGGGGTAGAGGCAGCAGGGTGCAGAGTCCAGCCTGCAGCAGCAGCTGCCTCCACCCCATGCACAGCTCTGGGGAGCACGTGTCTCCTCAGCCTCAGCCAGGTTGCATGCAGCAGTGGGAGCCACCCCCACCTCCCCACACCCCCCCCAGACAAACTGCTCTCACGGCTCCATCCCACACTCCACACCAGCTGGGCAGTGCCTGCCCCAGCCCCAGCTCCACTCGCTCCCTCACCATGGGGGCCTCAATCTGCTCCCCACCCACCGCTTAAAAACAAGACAAAAATATGAAGGGGTACATGAGCTGAAACTTTGAGGCAGAAGGGGTACACTTGTTAAAAAAAAGGTGGAAAACCCCTGCTTTAGATTGTTTCAGAGTAAGCACATTAAAGGCTCACTGATAAGTCCAAAAGTAGCAGTGACCTATCCATCGTTTCAGATTGAGTACATGCAGCATCCATATCAAGTCCTGTCAGGCTTGTGGTAAAGCATTTGATGTGGAGCTCATCAACCAAGCTGCTGCAAGTGTATTTGCAGCAGTGCATAGTTCATATGCCTAATTTAACCTTTAGCTCAGTATCTGCTTCCTGCACTACATTTGTGTGTCCTGTTCCTGTGTGCTATTGAATAGATGCCACATTCCACAGCAGCACTAGCTGCATTTTGGTGGAGAGTGAAGTGACTTTACTCTGAATATATATAGCGTCAGAGTATCTTATCTTGAATGCATATTCTGACCCAAATTGGTCCCTCTGTGGGTTTTCCCATTCACAGTACAAGTCTAAACCTCCATTTGCTGGGCAGTGAGGGCAAGATCACTCCCACACTCTCTCCCTGATTTATAGGACAGGGAATCTGCCCATTTCTGCCTTGAACTCGGCCCATAATGAAAGGCATTCTAGTATTCCTGAGCTACTCATGAGGGAGGAGGATCGTGGAGAACCCCTGCTGAAAAGGA